GAAAATCTAAATACAAACACTTTAATACTTGACATTTAGAAAATATTATTTTTCGAACGAATAGGCATTTTTTCTTTATAAATTTAAATAAAAATATTAAAATTACCGTATAATATGGAATTATCCATTTTGATGACGTTAGTAATCCTTGATGAATATGTATATATGTAAATATTATATATACATGTATATAATAAATATACAAATTGTTTATTATCTCTTAAAAGTACACATTATTTTTATAATTAATACTAAAAAAGAAAGAAAAAAAACATAAACTTTTTTTTTGTGTATAAAATTAAAGTGCGAAGAAGAATGACATTTTCTACTCAGCATTTTTACTAATTTTGTTGTTTATTTTTTTTTTTTGTTCATTATTTATTTTTAAGTACCCTTACACCCTTTTATCAAAAATCAAAAAAAAAAAAGCATAGTGGACAAGGTACTGGAATTCACAGCGAGAATTTATAAGTGTTGCCATTTAAATAAAAAAAACTCTTGAAATTATATTTCAAATTAGTATTTATAATTGAATCGAATTCAAAAACTATATACGCTACCTAAATTAAAATTATTCTATACATAGAAATTACTAGTAGTATTAAAAGAAAACACTTGCACTAAATAAAGGGAGAGTTTTAGAAGAAAATCCTCAGTAGATCACTAACAAATGAAAATAGTACTTTATTAATTTTAATATGAATTTTCTTAATGCAATGAATTATATTTATGTAAGTTACGAGTATTATAACATTGTTTATGAGAATAAAAATTTAACTTCTAAATGTGTTTCCACGTGTTACATAATAAGAGTTCAAGATATGTATATATATATATATGTATGTACATTATATGTCAAAATATTAACAATTTTAAAAATTCTATCGATACGGATTTTAACAAGCATTCGTCCAAATAAGTAATTATGTATTTAGATATTTTCAGAAATAAATCTAATTTCAATAATACTGAATTTTGAAAAATAAAAATATTTTCTTGAAGGCTCATTGCATTTTCTTTCATCTACATAAATTAAAATTAAAAACGAATGCCCTTTTATTGTTGTTCTATGATTTTCAGTACAGGTTTTTTTATATATATTGTATTACAGTTTTAAAACATTCATATTATAACATAAATAAAACATATATCTATACATACTTAATGTAAATAACACACACTTTTGCAATGTGATTAATTTTTCTAATAAGAATATTTTCAATTTATTTTTTCATTTCTTCAAATTACAATTTTCATTTAATAGAGCGGCAACACTTATTTCTAAAGCAAGAGTAAAGAATAAAGATACAAGAAAAAAAGAAAAAAAAAACAGATTACAGAAAATTTAGACAAAAATTTTTTTTTTGAGAATAGAACAGAGAAAGAGAAAACGTAAATTAAATGTAAACGTAAAAGAAAAGAAAGAGAATATGTATTTTTCTCTATATGAAAAATATTTAATCAAAGAGAGAATTGCCAGATTTTAATTCTCACTCAAAAAACTTCTAAATTCTAATTGTAAAATGTCATTTCTTTTTGAATATCACGATTTTTTTTCACTTTTTAAATCTATCAAAAGCACATTAATTATAAACCTGTTTTTATCATATGTTAGAAAAATGTTTTTATTTGTATGTATGTATGTATGTATTTATAGAAGTAAAGCGAATTTAAATATTAATCAAGTTATATAATATCAAGAAATTATTTTTAAACTTATGTACATACATATATACATATTATATATAAAATAAATATGTATGTTCATTTGATTTTAGATTTCGTGGTCTCTGAAACATTGTATTTTAAATTTACAAATTCAAAAACAAACAACAAAAGAAAAATTTCTGCTTATGTGTATAGAATTGTGCACTTGGGAAAATAATTTTATTCATATAGGCATATAGTATTATATACACATGTATATATTTATACGTATATGTACATATATATTTTTTTTTATGTTATAAAATGATATGGTTTTTCGTATAGATTCTATGCATATACACCGCCTTTCAATGTATTTAACCGACTAGTATATAGATTTTTCTACTGACAAAATTTTTTTCACATTTTCTTCATTATGTTTTTTACTAAAATTACTTAATTTTGTATTCGTTTACACAAATTTTTAAATAATAAAAATTTAAATTTCTTTTTTTTTGAAATTTTCAATCTTAGAAAAATTCACTTTTATTTTTTTTTTTTAAGTAAAAAAGAATAATGACATATTCAAAAATTAAAATTTTGACATTTTAATAAAAAGAAAATTTTTTTTTCCTTTTGACATACACTTGCACTCAGATTTCATTGAAGTTGAAGATTTCATTCATATGACATTTTTATTTTTTTTTTATTTTTTTCTTTCATTGAATAAAATAACCCATAACTCATTTTGAATTTTTAATTAAATTTTTTAAGAACATTTTATTTTAATAAATTATTAATATAATTTTTTTTAATATAGAAAATAAACATGTATGTATAAATTTTTTACTAAATATTTTTTTTTATAAAATTTCTATATAACTAACATTTTTACATGTAGATATACCCGTTATATACATATAATATATACACATACAATATATAAAAATTAAATTAAACTACTAAAGCACTGCCCGTTTTTATTTTTTATACACACTATAAAATTTGATTTGTAAATCGCAAGAGAAAAAATGTAACTAAATTTCGTACAAGAGAATTTCTTTGACTTGACTGAAATTGACGGTAAAATGAAGGAAAGAATAATTTGAATTGAATTGGCAAGTCGGTGACTGAAAAAGTATTTTTTTTTATTCTTATTTTGTTTTTCTGTTTTCTGTAGATTTGTTCTTTCGAAAATTTTGAGCAACTACTCATTTTTGTTTTTGGTTTTATATTTTTTATTTTTTTTAGGGAAGGTTAGAAAGAGAAGAATATTTTGTTTGAGAATTTTTAATAAAATTTTTACCAGAAAACATGTTGAACATTTTCTTACTTCGCAGATATTTTTACTCAAATGATGAATGAATTAGAAGATGGTAGTGTCTAAAAATAACGTATTATGTAGGTACTTACATATTTGTATTTTATTTCAATAAAGTATTCGTGGTTATTAGAAAATTATTTTAAAATAATTTTATTTTTTTAACATTCTTCATAAGTAGTAATCACAAAATATAGGTCTAATAATTATTAATTTTCTTGTGAAGAATATTTTATGATATATTAGAAGTTCATGTGAATTAAAAGTATTTGGAAATTTAACTTATGTGAACTAATAATAGTTATGAATAGACCTCTCAATAGGTGTCAACAAATACCTAGTATGCTAACTGTATAAATTTTGAAAATTAAAAAAATAACACCAGTAAATTTGTGAAATTTGCAATATAAATATAGATATAAGTAGGTTAAAAGATACATACTTTAAGTATATAAATTCAATGTAGTTATGGTTTAGAACGGTATAGGAAATATTGTTTACTTATTTAAAATTTATTAAATGTGCAGCAATTTACTAAAATTGTTTAAATTACATTTAAATGTAAAACATCTATTTTTTTTTTGTTATGTCACAGTTAGACGGGAATTTAAAAACAACCACATTAATCCCAAGATTAGATCAAAATAAAAATTTTGCAAAAATTACAAATATTTTATTAAAAAATATTTGAATATAGATCATTTCTTACTTATACTAGTAAATTATAATTACAAGAAACTTAAAAATGAGTTCCAGTGATGAAATTTTATCTACCTATACGGGTACAAACTATCCAGAACAAAATACTATTACTAACCCATCCACTAAAAAAAAAGCAACACATTAAGTATACAACAATTTCAAGTAATCTTATAATTTAACCAAATTTAAAGTCATGTAAATTTAATTTTGGTAAGACTATAAATTTAGCAGCCAATTAAACCTAATAAAAATTGAGATGAGTTTAATATGGCACAGCTAAGCTATAATATTTAATATTACTTAATGAAAAATTAGTTAATTTTAATATATTTTTAATTAAAATTTTAATATAGTTTTAATTAAAATTGCCCGATTGACGGGAGTTCATTCAATTGCAATCATGCTCTCTTAAAGAAAATAAATTTCGCTCAAGTTTCGTAGCAAAAATTTAGAAAAGTAATAATAAAAGTAATAAAAATTCAGTTAAAACTTTTTCTTTAAATTATTTTTATCATTTTTAACGTCCTCAACTAAACTTTATACGAAATTTCGATAGACTAAACACTAAAAGGACAAAAAATCATTTTTTGTCACTTTAATTTATTCAATGCCCAAATTTCAGTTACTCGTAATATGTTGGAAATAGGAACGTTTGTATATTAGAAATTAGTTGAAAATCATTGAAACCAACTTTGGATAATGTGATATTTCAAATGATTGCAATTCCTTGTAATTGAATGAACCTAAAAAATAGAAAATCATAAAAAATATGCTTTAATATTGCGTCATATCTAAATAACATATTTTTTTTTTTAAATATTTTTTCTCGTAAATAGCAAAGAATATAATATGTATATGTGTCTTAATATATTTATTATTATATCCGTGTTCTACATTGAAGAAGTTTAATTTAACCTCAAAATATTAAGCTAAAATTTTTTGGTGATAATTAGATTTTTATCTGCAAAATATTATTTAAACTAGTAAAAAAAGTCAAGAATGTAAAATAATCGTCATTATGCGTTTTAATTTTAATCCTAATTAGTAAAATTTTACATATAAGCACAATTATGGGTAGCACATTTTTCCACACTGCATACAATAGACAACTCTTTAAATATTAAAAGATAAATTTCCTTCTTCGGCATAATTATACCGACTTACTTGACAAGTAGTTAGGTAGTTAGGTACCTACATGTATAAAAAAAATTATTTTCAAAGTTTATGTGAATATAAAAAATCCTTTTTTTCCGCACCTTAGAAAATATTTAAAAATAATAATTATTCACCTAAAATGAAAAACAATTAAGTCAATCTTAAAAATACTTACCAAAATATCCAAAATTTGAAAATGACTTCCAAATGAATGGGCTAATGACGAAAACCTTTTTCATTTATATATTTTCTTTTCGAGATATTAAACTATACTATTTATATTTTTGAAACAAATTTTAAATATTTCATGTATAGATTTCATTAAATTTAAAAAAAAAAAAACAAATTGAATTTTCGGAAAAATAAAACAAAAAAATTGATTTGTACCGAAAAATCAATCAATTACTTTGAGGTGTAAGTTATATATATATATTTGTATGTATGTATATGTATATTCTTATATATGTGTGTGTATATTCTTCAGCACTTAAATTTTCTTTTTTCTATTTTAGAATTTTGATTTAAAATATAAAATTTATTTAAAAATTCTTTTTGAAAAAATTGCAAAAAAAAAAAAAATATAAAAAATTAAATTCAAATGTACATTTATAAAATTTTTAATAGCAATGGACAGCGGACATCGTTCGATCACTAAAATGGTGTCACTTCTCACTTTTTTCCTTCTCGTTGAAAATTTCCAGCCCGAATCAAGAACTTTTTTCTTTTCTTATAGTATTGTCTTATAAAATTGAAAATTTCAATTTTAAAATGTTTAATATGAATTTAAATTCCACACGTTACTTGCTCATTTGATCATAAATCGATTTATTCTTCTTTGGAATAATATATTTTTCTTATATTTTTTTTATTTAAAAACGAAAATAATAATTTAATTTTATATGCCGCACAAAACGACTACGCTTTTCGTCTTTTAACTTCAGTTCAGTCATTCATTAGAAAAAGAGATAGAAAATTTTTTTGAGCAACTCTACAAAATTCACTTAATATGGAAAGAGGAAAAGAGAAAAATGTATCAGTTTGATTTTTAACCCATTGGAATTTATAATTACGTTTACCTAAAAATTCACAATAGTTTTCAATGATATGTGTCATAAATATTCTACAGAGCAGTGTCATTTTGTAAAATTGAAATAGAAGAAAATATATATTTGTAAACCATTATAGTATATAGTTTACAAATATATATTTTCTATAATAATAGAAGAAAATGTATATATTATGTAAATTATTATATATTAATATTACTTATTAATATATGTCTTGAATTTAATAACAATTAAAATTATACTTTTTAAATTTTAATGACTTTGATTGAAATTTTAATGAAATTGATTTGTACTATTTGTCATAAAAAATATGAAATTTTATTATTCAAAATTGAGAGCTCTTGTTAAGTAAAATTTCCGAATAAAAAAAATAATATTTTATTGTGTTTAAATTGAAAACAGAACAAGAGCGATTTTTCAAACTTAAACGTACCCTAAATTCCTATTTTATCCCTGTTTTTGTTTCGCTTCATCTGTTTCCATTTGTGTGTGACATTATTTACAAAATATTGTCCAGGTGATTTTGCCGTTCCGCTGTTGCTCTGGGTTTACAACATCCATTCCACGTTTGGTTGTTTTTACAATTTTGAAAAAGTATCTTATTGATTGATAAAAACATCTTATTGATTGAAATATAAAGATTTTTCCTAAATTTAAATATCTTTAACTTTTCCGTACAAATATCAGAATTTTCAAATATAATTATTTTTGCAACTGAATATTGAATTAATTCAAACAAACTTTAATACAATTAAAATTTAATATCTTATTTGGCGCTAAAAAGTGAATAATATTGTTAAGATATTTTTGAAAAAGAAATTTACAAACACATTTTTTTACACAGTGTGTTTGAATTTCTTTGTAAGTTTAAGTAAAATGTTTTATTGCCAATACATGTTGTAAAAAATTATTTGCTATTACTTTTTTAAACTTTACATAAAACTGACAATCCAGCTAAAATTGTGAATCATTATTGATATGATAGCTCAAAATATTGTGAATTTTTGACAGCAAGTTGTAGATTTTAAATGAAACGAAGTTAAAACGGAATTAGTTAATTTTTTGATTTAGGAAATGAAATGATTAAATCGCAAATATGGAATTGTCACGGAATTATATTGGTGTTGCCGTTGTCAGAAAAAAATGTTTGATTTGAATTTTTCTACACTTTTTGCATTGCTTAAAGGTTTAAATTATCTTATGTATTTCATTTTTAAAATAAATTAGTTAACAATATAGTTTTTTATTTTAGGAAAGCAAAGAGTAGATGATTAAGAATTAGCAACAAGAGTTAGTGAAATCTATTCAAGTTTTGGTAATCAAAGTAGTAACAATAATATAAGCAAATATTAAGAATTCAGTTAATATCACATTGGTGTTATAACGATAATCCATAACAAAAAAAAAAAAATAATTGTTAGATGTAAAACAAAACAAAAAGAAAACAATGTTCTGAGCTCAAAACTTTAAATGAAAATTTTAAGCGAAAATTTCTTAACTTTTTCGTAAAAAAAGATAAATTGATTACAAAAAAATTTTTTAAAGTAGGAAAGATTTTAACGATAAAATATATTTGAAGCGTACCTAATTATTTGAAGCTTTAAATTGTAAAACAGTATTGAAACATTTTTTCTTAATGCAGTTGAAAAAAGACACTAAAAACAAACGTTGTACGAGCTCGGTATTTCAAAATAGTAGTCAATTTTTTCGACTTTGATAAACAAAAAATGTCGCTAAAAAGTTCTGCTGCCATATTATTAGACCATTAAGCGAATACACAATAATGCAAGGAAAAAATACTCACCATGAAGCTGCTGATTTTTGTGCAAGTAGAATAACCGTGCTATGCCTACATAAAGGAACATAAAATTTCCTTTTAAATTGAGTTTCGGAATCTGCCATTGACTAGATTTAGCTATTTATTATAAAATAATTTTATAGAATTTCTTAGAATTATTATTTTTTTAATAATATGAAAATTTACACTGTGTAGCAATGAAACAAGAGAACATGTTCGGGGAAAAAAAGCACAGATCGTTCTCCGGTCGGAAGTTACAGTGAAAACGGAATAGTAACAAAAGAAACAAAATATTGATTCTTAGTAAAACATTTTTAATACATTCATTTAATAAGAAAATACTTTTTATTTATTTATTTACTATGGAGTGTTTTTTTTTTTTAATTTTCTTATATAAATTTGACTTGGAACAAAAATAAGTTCTTAATTACCTAAAAAAAAATTGAAATTTTCTGGTTGATAAATAAAAAAATATTTGTAACTTTTTCATTTTTTGATATTTAAATTTAAATAAAATACCAATTGAAAATAATAATAATTATTTTTATCATATTTCAGGTAAGTATGTAAATATATAAACCTTCATATAAAGCATATAAACCTTAAAAATCTTTCAGACTTTAACATAAAACTAAATAAAATATAGTGTGTAGTTTTAATTAAATATATAGTAAGTAGATAATTATAATAAAAGTAAATATATTTACAAACAAAAACTTAAATAAAATACATAAATATATTTATAAAATATCATAATATTTCTATATGTATATATTGTATGTGTTTTTTTATTAAAATCCACAAGAAATAATTTGAAACATCCAGTATAATAGTAAAATTTACAAAATAATCTAGTAAGTAACTCGTTTCGTTCTTTTTAATATTTATAAAATGTATTTCAAAATATTTCTTGTGAAATATTTCAAAAACTTAAATTTATTATTCACGTATTTTTATTCTTATATTGTTTTAAATATCCATTGTCGTGTTACATTTTTACATCCTAATCCTGTAAGTTATAATTCAAATAATCATGTACTTATTTGAAAAAAAAAACTAACACATACGTGCACATCTTATTTAAATTGTAAAATCTATGTGTTAAAGTTGTTTTTGTGCTGTACAATCAAAATACAATTATATAAATACAAATTTTCTCTTTTTAAATATACAAATAAACATTTGTGTTAAATATTTAATTTTTAATATTTTCTATTTCCGTTTGCTTATCTAATTTTGATGGTTCAATATCATTAGCACTTAAAACAAATATAGGAGAACTAAAATCAACAAATTTATCTGCATTATTTCCTAATATTCTATTTTCAGGATAATGAATAACAGTTTTCCTTTTACCACGTTTTAACATAACATAAACTACAAATATACTAACTAAAAATGCTGATGATGTTGCTAATATAAAGACAGCTGTATGTAATGTGTTGTTATTGGTTGCAGATGTTGCCAAAGCAATTGGTATATGTGGTTTCTGTGCATTTTGTTGCTGTTGAGGATATTTATATTGTTTTTCTTCTTGATTTAAATTCAATTCTTGATTATCATCATAATCATTTTTTAATTTTTGTTGTCTATGAATGAAACGTGACATTGTTATATCAGGTTTTAAATGACCATAACCTAATATCAAATTCCCTTGTCGTATATTTTCTTCAATAGCAAAAGCTTTATCAATTTTATCATCACGATGTAATTCGAATCGTACAATAACATTACCATCCATATTATCATGAACGCGAAGATTTTCTAATGAATCTCCAATTAATTGATGAAGTTCCGTTTGCACAATATCATAAATATTTGCAATATGTCTACCTTCTTCATTTTGTAAGTTTAATTCGACAGATACAACGTCTATTGAAGTTGGTTTACATTCTTTCGTTCCTATGGGGAATGTGCCTGATGACGGTAATTGATTTCCTGCTGCATCGACGCACCAACATTGCCCATCTAAAATTAAATGTTTTAAAAAACTTTAATAATTGATGTGATTTTATATTATATAGAAAATTTTTTTTACCGACGCATTGTGTTGGAACAAATGCTCCACTTTCGTCGCAATTCACCGGAAAAGAAGCTGTCATTTTAAGAGCCATACATCTTGTAGTTGTTTTCATTAAATTTTTTGTACTGTCTATAAAAAGTTTAGAACTTATTATTGAATTTCCTAATTCGTAAATTTTTTCAGTGATTGCAATTTCCTCATCTGGGATATCGGCTGATTCTAAAGTGTCTAAATCATTATCTTCTATGTCAACCATCATTGTCATTTGTTTTATTAATTCTTCCATAAGAGGATCATTAGGGCCATCATTTGCATGCATTCGCCTTCTTGCTTGACGGTGATTACACACGGGCTCAAGATTTCTGGTTAAAGTACCTTTTAGAGGTGCACCTTTTTTATCTGAACACCAACAAACTCCATACTGGGAATTGGATACTGGATCAGATGAAACAGAAAATGCACGACTCAAGCGCTGAAGCTGGTTTTCTGAGATTTCTGTAGATTCTTTAAGGGAAGATGGTTGTTTTCCCAAACATTGAATTGGACTCCAATGTCCTGTTATTGGATCACATCTGGGTTGAAACCATACAGATGTTTGATCGGCACGTCTTGCAACTAAACTATTTTTTAGTTTGACTCGTTCACATTGTGTGAGTACTAAAATGTAAGATATTTTAATTTTCAAGTGGCGCTTGATAGAATTATTAAATATTACCAGGACAAACTGAGTTGCAAGCTAATTCGTTGTGGAAAAGATTCTTATTTTGACATGAATTCTCTTCTTCAGAAACAACAACTGGCACACATTTATTTGCTTTGGGACTAAAACGCCACTTTGTTGTATTATGGAACGAGTTAATTTTAGCTACACAGTTTTGATCCATTGATTCAAAACAAACATCTCCTACAATTTCGTGGTCATTTAAGAATTTAGAAAAATATAGATTTTGAAGTTGTCTTACTTGTTTTTGCACAACATACTCCCCTATTGGTAACTGGATTTAATTGACATGTATGTGTTGTTGGGCAGGCTTCGTTTTCATTTTGCGGTCCACACCCTACTTCCAATTCGCCTTGCTTTAAAGGAACGCCTTCTGGGCAAACAGATTCTCGTTTAGGAACACAAATAGGCATTTTTGGACAAGGTAAATCTATGCATTCTACGTTGATTAATTGACATTCTTCATCTCTTGAACATGAAATTTCGTCACAAAAATTTCTACATTCACATGTTTGGCAGCCATTTCTATCAGTTTTGAAACCATTCTCACAAGGCGCACATTTTTGTAATGGACATTCCAAAGCAGAATTTATTTCACATGTAGGAGTTTTTCCTTTGATTCTAGTGCCACTCAATTCTTCTCCTCGTTCATTTACACACCAACATAGATTTTCTGGACCGCACTGAATTTCATTCCATTTGCCTGATAGTGGGTCACATTGTGCAATATACATTTGTTTTGCAGGAATACCTAATTCTGAAGATTGATGCATTTGAATAGTTTGCAAATGTTGGCATGCAGTTTTCATTTGTGGCTCAACGCATTGAGTGCCACAACCGTTTGAGCAACATCTTTTGGTTCCTTCGCAGTGTGAATCTGTTCGACATTCATAATCGCATGTATTCGCATTATCTGGACTGGGTGGAACTAAAAATGGACATTGGCCTGCTTTCCTGGGCAAACAAGCAGGAACAGGGGGGCAATATTCTTCTTCGCAAGAAACTTCTACTGTTCGACATTCTTTGCCATTGCTACAGTTTACACCCTCACAAGGGTCTCGGCATTGGCAGGCTGGACACTTTGTTTCAGGACTTAAAATGAAACCATATTCACAACCCATTCTGCACGTAAGATCTAAGCAATCAATTGACTCCCTTAATCTGTGGACAAATAGTTTTTTGAAAGTTTCTGTTAAAAATTTTATTAGATATACTCACTGAACGCAGGAGTCATCAGTAACATTAAATCCTCTTGATTCAGGTATTTCTGTTCCAAATCCATCAACACACCAACATTCTTCTACTTCCATATCAACCAATTCATCATCTCCTAGAGGTCGCTTCGGAGCTGGAGCTACCTTTTTAACATCAGTTTCAAATAGTCCTGACAGATCTTGATATTTTGAAGAACCCATTGAGGATATAACCTTAGCACTTCTTCCCATAACAGGAGCTGCAACACGAATATTAAGCGTGCCGTCATCTACTCTATAAAGTTTTAAACTTTCTGTTTGACGTTTTGATCTGGTATGCAAAAGCATTTTCATTTTGCGAATTGTATTTTCCTCCAGAATTTGTTTTTGTTCTTTCCGCGTTACTTTAATATTCTTATAAGTGCACTGACGAGGTGAATATGCGCCATCTTCTGCACATCTTGGTGGAGGTATAGCCAATTGCATTCCTTCTTCCGTGCCTTCCATACGATCTGAGAAGTCTCTTAGATATTCACACACTAACGATAAAAGAAAATTATAGTTGACAATATGTTTTTCACACATTTTTATATTCTTACTAGATTGCTGTCTCTCTTGAGAATACTCAGGGAATATTTCTTCCGGAACAGGACAACATACATTTCCAGATTCACCATGTAGTTTTGTACATTTATGATTTTCTGGGCAAATAATGCGATTAGACATTGATCTAGCCAGTTTTGGGTCTTCATCAAAGAATGAAACTGGTTGATATGCACGGGACTGTCTTTCTTCTAAAATAGAGATTACAAGAAAAAATTTCAACTACAAGATTGATCATACATACCATTTATGCAATAAAACAATTCTCCTGTAATATTATCCGATAATGGAGTTCCAATATCGCACGGATTTGAATAAATAAGATCTGGTTTACAAATAGGCCATGAAGAACACAAAGCGGAACCTGATTCACATAAAGGATCGGTAGCAACTTCACAATGGGAGCCCATTGGGCATCTGAAGCCTTCACAAGGTTCTGAGCATTCACAAGTTGGACATCCATTGTGATCATTTTTAAAACCATATTCACAAATAGCAGCACATATGTTAGTATCACATTGTTCCATACTCATACTCCGACCTACAGATCTAGCAATCATATTTTCCCAGCCATCACAGTTAACATTATCCGCAGCACCCATAGAATCTTTGATTTTTTGCCCTGTCCTTGGATCAACGCACCAACAAACCAAACCATTTCTTGAACATTGTTTTGGTGAAAACATGCCACCAGGTCCATTGCATTCAGGAACATATCCACGACCTTCACGTTCATTTACAGCTAATATATCCGATAATGCTCTTGCTTGATGGCATGTTGTTATATTAAAAGGCTGTTGGCAGTTATTTTGACAACCCTTGGTGAAACAACATTTTTCCATATGTTTACATTCTAAGTCATGTGAGCATGGTGTTCCACACATGTATCCTGTTCTTTCTGAATAAAGATAATCTTCTGGATTAGGACAAACTCCTGGTTTTTGAAATTTCAGTGTACTTGGACAACAAACACCATAATCATTTCCTGATTCTACCAAACATTGATATAATGGGGGACATTGTGGTTTACCAGGCTCTATTCCACATAAAAATGGTCTTATACTATCGTCTATTGATAACGGTAAACCAGCCGGACATGCATTTGCTAAAGATCTACCTTTTTTACATGTTGGGATAGGTGGACACGGTTCTGTTTTACATTTAACTTCTTGTTGCTGACATGTTTGTCCATTTGGACATTCAATACCATCACAAGGATCACGACATTTACAAATAGAACAACCACTACGCGCGTCTCTAGCAAAACCAGATGAACAGAACATTCGACAGCTGCTTGCTGCACAATGATCTGGTTCAGAACATTTAACAGTATCACGTGTATTATTTCGTGTTTCTGGTATTTCAACTCCATATTCATCAACACACCAGCAAGATGTGCCATTAAAATCTTCTTGACATTGTATTGGTTCAAATCCACCTGATTTTGTACATCTCGGTATCCGTACACGTTTCTGTGGTGACACACTAGCTAAAGCTTTTGATCGACGAGTTTCCGATCGTCGAAGATGTTGACAAGCTGTAAGATCATCTGCAATAAAGTGATAAAAAAAGAGAAAATTTAAAATTTTAAAGTTTTTTGTAAAAAAAAGAAGAAATGAAAACGTAAAAAAATTAATTATTAAAAGTTTTTTAAATTTCGTCATTTAAATGTCGACCACATTCTGCAGAAATCATCAATACGAAAATCAAAATTTTCAAAAACTTGGTCACACATTATCACACATTATATGGAGTATAGTATAGTACGTATAGTACTCGTATTTCATTACAATTGCAATAAAGTGATAAAAAAAGGGAAAATATGGTCTCAATAATAATTAAATACTTTTCTTAATATTATTAATCCAAATGTCATATAATTCTAGGTAATAATATAATAGGTAATTCTAGACTTCAGATAACCACCCGAATTAAAGATCACCTTCATAACTCTAAAATAAAACAAATGACGGGCAGGCAGGATACTCAAACTAACAAAAATATCAAAACTATGTTGCTAATCACGCCCAGCAAGCAATATCATATTTTTCAAAACTTTAATTGAGCGAAGATGTTTTAATCTATACAAGAGTTTCAAATAAAAATACAAACAACAGACCTGGACAACTAAAATTAATTAATCGAAATCAAAGACTTATATTACTTATATTTAAAGCCTTTATATATGTATTTTTAAAGTCTTTGTCGAAATCTATTACACCATGCAGATTGAGAACACACATCTAAGTCCCTCAAAGTTTGCGCAGTAAGACTAAAAGATGTAACTCTTGTTTTGTTATTTATAACAAGACTATGTTACGCAAACCAATCGCAGGGAATACTTAAATCGTGATTCAAAATAGCCGCCAAAGCATTGCTACATACATAACTACATCCAATACCATCCACAAATATTTCTACTTCGCTCCTGGGAAGTGAATATGGGAAACTATAACACATGTCATAGTTTCAATGATTTGAGTCTTCAAATTAACTGTTATCTCAAAAAGAGTTTCTAGTGATTTTCAGAGAGTTATTTTAATCTATTTTACTAGAACGAAATTTTTTTATAACTTATCAGTCTGTCGTACTACCGATTTCTATAGCCATTACTTTAATACAAAGATAGTAAGTAATGAATTTAGATCTAAACTTATATAAAACTCTATAATCAAATTATTAAAGGGAAATGTGCCATTTTACAAACAATGGAAATCACATAAAATGTAATTCTTTTAAGTTGTCTCTTTTTCTTGCATTTTTAAAAATTCAATAATCTTAGTAATTAATTCTTTATTTTATATTTTGATTGTTTTTTTATTCGAAAGAGGACGAATAAATTAATAAATTGTACGATTAAAGCATATTGTGTTAAAAATATACAAATATATTAAAAGTTTACTCGCGCATGAAAGTTGATAAAAATATCTTAAAGATCAAAGTTAATAAAGAAAAGAATAAAGTAATCGCGCACATAAAATTAATTTTGATTTTACCTTATTCATACTATATTCAGGTATAAATGTGTTGTGCGCCATTAAAGAATATATGCAAGGTATACTCGGATGAGTAAGGTTTAGTATTTATAGAGAGGGAAAGCAAAATATTTAGTCGATAATATTAATGTGCTATATTTTAAAAATAAAAGGACGGAAATGTTAAAAAAACTATTTACTAACAATATTTAGAATGTTCGTAAGTTGTTAATTATAACAGTTATGATAGTATAAGGAGTATTGTAAAATATTGAGTTAAAAAACAGCTTTGTGATTAGAATCTTATATCTAATATAAATTCAAAGTAGTTAAAAATATTAGATTTTTTTAAAGTATGGTAAAATATATTATGTATGTCCACATTCGACTTAATGTGATTCATAAGGGTTGGTTCTTGTTCTTTTATGATAGATAGTTCAACATATAAATTGACAATTGCATCAAAGTATGTGGAATAGGTTACCAGCAGCTTAAGTCTATAGATATTTATTACAGATCCAAGGCTTGGCATTTGTGCCCTCATCTAACGTGTTCATAACAGTACATTTTTCAACCCCTATAAATATGCAATTTTTGTTTAGTAATTTCCCAAAATAATATAGAAGAAGATCAGAGAAAAATTTCCACTCAAAATATTTATTTCTTACGGCAAATCTTCATTTCTGATTGGCAATATAGCGTCCTTCAGCATTTATAAAAATACAAGAATACTTTTAAAAGTGGTGTTGAACTATTGACCTAGTATATTTCTAGTATATTTACAATTAAAATAATTTCTAGTATATTTCTAGTATATTACGATTCAATAATGAAAAATAAGTATAAATAAATATAAATTCGCATATGGAGTCTTACTATACAACTTATATGATGAGTATATACTTATGTTAAGTTTGGGCTTCATTTATTTAAACTACTTCACATTAAGTTTTTAAAATTAATTTTAATTTATTGTGTTTTTTGTTTTTGTACTTTTTTTTGCTTTTTATTAATAAATTTGCATCACAATCAAGTTTAATTCAAAAAGAATCCAAGGTAGTTTCATTACCAATATTTATAATTGGGTTTTTTGTTTTATAAAATAAATATGTACTTATGTATGTATGTATACATATTATGTATATATGTATATTGAAATTTACCACTTATGATTACTGACCTTTTAACCGGCAAAGTGAATACAATATTTTTTTTTTAGTTATTAAAGGTCATTAAATATTTTTCTACAAACATACATACAAACACATATTTACTCTTGTATAATTATGTGAAAAAATTTTTTAAATTAAAACTCCATATAAAGGCAAATATCCGACTTATATTTAGAAAATAATGGTATAAATTTTTTTTTTAAATTAACAAAAAGCAAAAATATAAATTATAAAGTAAAAATAAACAAAAGACAATCAATTGTTTAAGAAAAAAAGTCTGGGTGCATAATTAATGACAATTTTCACTATTTAAATGCAAACTAAACAAAATTACTATTATTATTAAAAACCAAACGGATTAAAAAGCGGATATCATGGTGTTAATAATCATTGGTCACAGTTTTCTCAAAATATTTTATTATTTTTATTAATTTTTTTTTATTTTAAATAGGAAAAGTGAGTAAAAACTTTAAATCGAAAATTCACATATCTATGCATTTGCAAGTGTGCATAAGGAGAGGTTAAGTTTATTTTTGTATAATTGATAAATTATTATATATATACAAGTATATTATTTACTTATAAGCATGTCAGCTTATACATATAAGTATATTATAATTTCTTGAAGAAAATTATTAAAAAAATGAAAGTTAAACATTTTGTTTTTTATTAATAAAATACCAAAGATTATAATGTACATTTTGGATATAAAAACCACATCTTAAACGAATTCGACTCTTTATACGATATAATATTATTCCGAACATAATATATTAGATATGTATATGCATATGAATATATGTATATGCGAACAACAAAATGTTAATGTAGAGATCATTTAGCTTTCAATAATGTAAAATTCATTTAATAGCTTTTATATAGAAATTTAGAAAATGAAAAATTAAAGTTTAATTTTAACGGCACAATTAAGATTCACATGCACTTATTTAAATATATATATATAGCATTAAAAGATATAATATACAGTTCTAATATACAGTTTTTTCAAGACATATGTATCTTTTGAAAGAGAGCCTGATATAGATCTGATCTTGTTGTACACTGAAAATTCTACTTAGACAGGCTAACAAATGGCATTAGATCCTTAAAATTTTGCAAAGAAGTTTTGTATATATGTACAAATGGCATTAGATCCTTAATATTTTGCAAAGGAATTTTGTATATATGTACATAGGTTCATAAAATTCTGATTGTATTGCGTATTTTTAAGAATCCAATTGTTCTTATTATCCGAATGAATAATTGTTTGCATAAAGGCTCTAATGCTTTGGAAAAATTTTCTTCGTATACAATACGAAAATTAAGCAATATTAACTTCAAGGATTTGGAAATATTGCTTTGTTGTCCACTAAACATGAAGTCAAACAGATGCGAATAAACCTTTAATATAATTTTAAAATTATAAGAATATTGTAACGATTTCTGTACAATAATTTTTAAATGAAACAGTATCTATAAGTAGGTTCATCAAAATCGTTTTAAATTATAAATTACGTCCGGGCATCAATATAGTTAATTACAATTATTGGTGAAAATTAATTAATAAAATTAAAATTTTTGAAGTAATAAAATTTTATTTAGTCAAAACACGACTTTTTGACATAAAATATTTTTATTTGAAAATACAGTAATAATGCACACCCATATTAAATCAATTTTCCTCACAATTTTTTCCTTAGTGTCCTCCATAAAAATACGCCTTTTCCTAATACATTTATATAAAAATCAACAGGTATATGTTTATTCAGTTATCACATAATAAAATATTATTTAAAAATATATGAACTGGATCGCGTGCCTTTTCCTCTAAATCTCAATAAAACTCATTTTAATTAATTCGCTAGTTATTAATGCTTCAATAATTTATTATACTGGCCAATCAGTTCCATGCAATAAAAATTCAAGTTCAATATTTTCAAAACTCCAATATTCATGCTATATTTTAATTCAATAATTGAGGCAATTTTAATGACGATGATGAATATTTAAAAGAAAAATATTAATATAGTGATGATTGAAAATTGCCATCAATAAAATAAGGGACCATTAAAATCATTGTGCAATAAAACCTCAACGTTACTCATTATAGGAACTTGATGATGTTTGGACGATTAACACGTTAATGTTTTTTTTTATTTTATATTTTTCTTTTTCTTCTTTTTGCTTCATTCTTTTATTTCAATGATACCTACATACATACATACTTTATTTTTTATTATAAACCCACCAAGATGACATGTCACGTTTCTAGACATTAAATTTTTTGTTTAGCAGAGGGATTTTCAAAAGTAAATCATAAATTGACACTGTTTATATACATACATATTTCTGGTATTCAGTAAAGTGTGTGAGTATAATAAATTAATGTAAGCATATTTAAT